AAATTGCCTTTTGATCAGCCAGATCAATTGGATGTAAAACTCGTTGCACTCGAGGATAAATAACGGACAGAACTGATCATAAGCGGTTTTTTGGGCACAGGGGTGGGCCGTTCTGCACACGTCAGACACTCCTGCTTGATGATGCAAGTCAAAATCGTTGGATACATAGGAATGGAAAGTTCCAATTGGTGCTCGTATACAAACATTATTATTCTTATTTCTGCATACATCTATACACTTGATTTATTTTATTTTTATTAGTTGAGGTGACAGACTGCTAACACCTAACAGACAATATTACATTAAAACTATAGTAGTCTACCATAGCCAGTTGTGTTTGACGTTGTCGTGTGAGAACTAATTGAAGTAGGAATATATAATTTGTCCAGTTTGTGTATATTCTGTTGATTCCACTCAGACTTGATCGATAGCCTGGCTCACTTGCCGCATATATATTTATTTTATTTGATTTTACAACTCAGTCAAACGCATACTGTGGTAAGCCCTATGAGGGCACTAGTGCAGACAGTGCTCTGCTTAGCTTATGAGCGGTACTGATAATGGGGAAGAAACAACTGACGATCGAAAGAAAACACAACGGGATACGCGAAGGATTTCGGTAGTGTTTCATGTTCTGCTATCAGGAAATGACAAAAGATTTTGGGCCACAGCAAGCGCCCAACATTTGCAGACTACTAGGGAGGCAGCAGCAGGTACAAAACAAGTGTTTGCGGCAACAATAACTAGCGCAGTAGCAATGGCTCAATATGTAGCGACCTCTCAAGGTCAGCAAACGTCATGAACCTTCGCTATGTCTTTTGTTTTATCCAGTGGGATGAGTGCAGTACCCTCCACAAGTCAGATGACAGACTCGCAGTACAACCAACCACCTTCACCTACTATAGCGGAGTTAGAGCTCCAGCAAGTAGAATTACTCCGCTTATAGCTAGAGAAGCAACTGAGAGACATTATCGAAAGACAATACCAGATTAAAAATTGTAAAGTTAGATTGGAGATCAAAGAGGGGTTAGATGATTCGATCTTGGATGATGCAAGAAAAATTATCCGGGCTAATTTGTTGAATATGCATGCGTATTTCGATAGTAGACTGGACGAAATTCAGTCAACCTTTGACTAGATACTGACAGCCGTGCAGGGCAGGGGAGGACCACAACCCCCCATACCAAGCGGGCCAAGCGTCCAGAAACAGCCAGCTTATACATCGTTGGTTCCTTTACTAGCGGTGACATGCCTGTTTGTTTCCTGATCAGGTATCATACGTGGTGGTACTTAAGCAGCAGCAACACACAATGTTGCTCCTTTTTACCCCGCCCTGCTACTGGCGCCATCGCCCATCACCCGCCATCGTCTTCCTTTTTTTTTTTTTTTTTTTTTTCCTTCTTCTTCTTCTTCTTCTTCTAGTTTGTCAACATTCGGGAGGTCACGCGAGACTCAATAAGTGAAAAAAAAACAACAACGAAGGTCATGGGATACGACATACCGTCCCCTCTTTTTCTTTTTCTTCTTCTTCGACCTTCGGTAGGTTACGTGAGACGGGACAGGTAAAAAAAAAAAAAAACAAGACCGCCCTCCTCCCCCTCTTTTTTCCGCTCATCTTCTTCTTCTTCTCCTTCTTCTCTCCGCATCGTCCCCTCGTCTTCTTCGCCTTCCCCTTACGTTTTCATCTTCCTCCACAACCTTTCTTCTTCATCGTCGTCTTCCCTTTCTCCCCCCCTCGTTTTCTTTGTCCCCTTCTTCTCCTTCTTCTTCTTTTTCTCTTCTTCTTTTTCTTCTAGTTCGTTGACCTTCGGTAGGTCACGTAAGACGCGACAGGTAAAAAAAAAAAAAAAAAAAACAAGGTCGTCCTCCTCCCCCTCCTTCGCCGCTCATCTTCTTCTTCTTCCCCTTTTCCCCCACTCGTTTTCTTTTTCCTTATACACATCTAGATGTGTATAAGAGACAGCTCT